TTGCCGGGATTTAATTAGTAGTCGGGCGATACTCTATCGCGGGATCGTCAATTAACTGACGTCTCCCCGCCGACGTGGCTCGCGCTTCGTCGATGAATATCTTACGACAAGCGTGTCGTAACGCGACGAATTTTCGTCCCGAGAAATTAGATCGGAAGAGCCGCGAATGCGTCGTGAAAAGCGCGCGTTCGATATTAAAATTGGAAGACACGGCGATTATGCACATTCTCGGGATATTCGCGGGCTGAGCTTTAAGCGCGCGCGCGCGCGCGAGCGCGAACAATATGCACAAGAGCGTCTAAAAAGCGCGGCTGAAACGATGCATTATGCATCCCGCGATAAAGTATGAATTTATGCGCGCGCTGAGGTGGCCCCGGCGATTCGCGCTAACGCTCGTGTTTCTGTTTTCTTGGCGTAACACACGGTTACGTTTCTACGGCCGCGGGGTTTCCGGCGCGATTCGGCCGGAAGAAATATCCGGCGATGCGTCGTCACTCACGATTTCCACGTACGTATATCACGTTTCGTAAATATCCTCGTTGCGCTAGTTATTCGCGCACCGCGAAGCGACTCGCGGGCGAATTATTACGCGGCAGTTTCGCAACACGCGATCGTTAGATTTTCGTTAACTTTGTATTACAAAACAGAGACCGAGACATGTCTGTTATTGTGAAATACACGTCTACACAGTTCCCTCAATAGTATTAGCAGACAAATAATGATAATGGTAATACTCTCTCATCATGTCTCACGTGTCTCATCGTGTCTCAAAGGACACGCCTGCGGGGATTTCTGCAAGGCAGGCCGTCCGAAAACCTTCAAGTTTCTCGTACTCACGGCGAAAGATACGGCCACATATTAACGCGATCGTTTAAGGGTTAAAAGTCGGGCTCGGGGGAGCAACGAGATTTGATTACAAGCCGCGAATGCCGGTCGCGCCGACGACGATTACGAGCGGTAGCGCGGCCGGCGCGAATCGTCGCTATACTAGGAAAGGCACTAACTCCCGGCCGAAACTGGCCGCGGAGGGTATTAAGGAGCCGACGTCGGTCGCCGTTAAAATTTATATATTCCTCGGCTCGGCCTCGTAAGAGTGGCCGTAGAAATGTTGCCGCGCGTTCACGTCGGCCCTTCGAGCGCGGAGGACGCGCCGCCGCAAAGCGACTTTAATTGGCGAGCGTGTCCGTGGCGCGGTCGTACGAAAAAATTAGAGCCGCGTAATGCTGCGACGCGCATTGTCGTTTGGCGAAATCAGAGCGCTGGCAGGGCTGTATTCGAGCGTTCGCATAAAGTGCTCGCGTATCTCGCGGGCAACAAAGATAATCGCTCGCCTCGAGATTTTGGTCCCACGTCCCACGAATCCCGCAGATTCTGAGCGGGCGACAGGAGAGGGGGGGGCGGGATCTTGAGACTTGTCGAGATTTCGAGTCTACATCAAGCCTGCAAATTCCTTCCTTGAATTCTTGGAGAATCTCGAGATACAACTCTGCGTGTGACGAGCGAATGTTATATAATTTAATAAAGATCGAGAGATTCAAGGAAAGGGCAATAAATCAAGCGAGACACATTTTTATTCCTATAATCTCTTCCTTCTTATCTTCGGCGTTGCGAGTCTCCGAATGGGATTCGAAGCTCTTAAGAGAGCTAATAAGGAAGAAGCTGTCGAGGCAAAGATATCACGTGTCGAATAATGCTATTTTTCAGCAGAGACTTCAATTTGCATTCTGTATAACAACAAAGCGAGAAACAGAAATAAAGCAGAAGCGTCGGCGGATGTAAACAAGATCGTGCTCTCGACCTAAAATGTATTTTTAAACGTAAAAATTAGCACTGCAAAATTTACGTTGTATTCCAAAGCCGGTATATTCACAGTTGTGAAATATTCAGGACCTGCGATTGGAAACACATAATTTCTTACAGACATGTATCCATGACTAGTTAGTTGGCTGATTTGGTCAATCGATTGGAAACAAAATGACAGTAATCATTTCCAGCATTAAAGGTGCAATAGGATGTACAGTCCGATGATCGTATCTCGAGATTGTCCGTTGGTGTTTTATGTTTGGTAAAATCTGCAGAGTCAACGCAGAACCAAAATTTTCACTCGCTCGATCAACGAGGCGAAATCACGGTAAAATTTTCAACCATATATTTATTCAGAAAAACTTAAAAATTATTTTTTAAAAACATTTCTAGTCTCGAAAGAATGATGACGACGAAGTAACACATCGTCGCAAGATTAAGCGTGAAAAATCACGGTTTACAGATAAAGCAGCTAAGAACTGTAAAACGTTCGGAGAGAGTCAATAATGTAAACGTTATTACGGAAATCCCTAAACGCGCGCAGTATCGGGCCGCTCGTGATCTGCTCCAAATTAGCGCGACGTCAGTCAAGCTTTAGCGAGTCCGCTAAACCGACAGCAAACATGCACTTTTCACGGCAGTAAAACTGGGAATTACCGTCAGGCGCGTGTCGCGCATGCGGGGATGAAAAATCTGGGATGTGTGCGATACCGCGATACTCCGAACGTGTCACCACTTATCCTCCACCATTAGCCACTGTTCTCCACTTCCGGCGGTATCTCGATCGCGTCAGCTGCAATCGGCCGTCGACCATGGTGAGCCAAAGTATTATCGTTGTACACGTAAGAACGAGAGCGCGAGACGCGCTCGTAACGCGTCGACTAATTTCTCGATCTTCCGCACCGTCAAGATAATTTTCCACACGCATTATGCATCTCACTTTTTTATGTACATATTTACTCCGATTCACTCGTGATTATCCATGAATTGTTATCGCCAGAGCAATCGGCATTCGTTTGACCCATTTGCTTCGTAAAATTCGAAGATCTCCATTATCATCTATATAAAACAATCTCTCGAAAGAATTGAAATCTCCAAAGAACCGTCTGCAAGGACACGCGGCTAAGGATAAGGATGAGGATGAGGATTTTCCCGTCCGGGAAAGCGGAGCTCCGCGGCGACTGAGAATCACTGGCTTAAGCGTCAGATACCGGTGCATTCACCTTATGAAAGTCATTAATCTTGCGGGACGCAGAGAACCGGCCAATTAACAGGGCGGAATCAGGGAACGGCTAAGGTAGATACTACTGATTCCGATCGATTTCAGGCTTAAGTCGGGGGCAGCCGGCGCGCCGAGCCGCTGCGGCGGGTCGAGCTATCGATCCGTCTGTTCGCGCGCTCTCTCGCGAGTTAGCCGCGTGTCGGCCGGCGGCGGCGGCGGCGGCGGCGGCGGCGGCGGCGGCGGCGGCGGCGACGGCGACGGCGTTGGCGGCGGCGGTCCATCGATCCCGCAAATCCAGCTACCAGATCGACTTGCGCGTTTGCACGGGCTAAGCCCACGAGCTATGCTCATCTTCCTGTCCACAAATCTCCTAAGACCCGCTGCAACGCCCGTCGCTGAGCCTTTCGCCAGCTGTCCTGCGCCCCCGACGCACCTGATGCGCCCGCCCCCGCGATGCGCGCCAAGATCGCGACCGAGATGGCGGAGAAGACCGGTAGCTGCGACGACGACGACGACGACGACGACGATGACGACGACGACGACGAAATCGCGTGAAACGGTCCATTTGTTCGGGAACGGGGAAATCAGTTGAGGGAAGCACCATTGTCGAGTTCGCGATCGGACGCGAGTAAATGAAGACATCACGCTGAGATTTCACGAGGTGAATTTTGAAAAACCGTCAGGGTACCGAAGTACAGGTCACGTGTCGTTTTGTACGCGCAGGATGAATGATGAGAGAGGTAGCAGACGCGGGGCGAAGAGTTTCTTTCCGTTTCACGCGATAGGCGTGCTCCGCGGTGTAATCGCCGTTTTCGCCCAGTTTTCGCTCTCTGTCCATTCGCGATATTTGTCAACAGCAATTTGCAGCGCGACTTCTTGACGCGTATTGGCTCGAATTCGCTTCGTTATTTCTTTCAGATGGTAAATATAATCGGCCGTGTGTATAATGACTACAAATAAAGTAATGTTAATTTAATCAAAATAATTCGGCCGAAATAACCTCATAAATTTTAATGATTGTGATGAATCGAACTAAATTGTAATCAATATAATTAAATTAAAATTACTCTTATCGAAATTGCTCCGATCAAATTGCCTGTTATTATTATTTTTTCATTACGCGATTCGCCGAAAATTACCGATGCAACTAGATGCTATTTAACGAAAATTAATTATGCATTTCGGATCTGATTATCGACGCGAGCAGTTCGTTCTTTGCGTTAATTATGCTTTCATTCGCTTCCCCCACGCCTCTCTCTCTCTCTCTCTCTCTCTCTCTCTCTCTCTCTCTCTCTCTCGGAAATACTTGCCCGCGGTATAAGTCACTGTTTCGAGAGAGTTTTGATTGCGCGGTAATGTTTTGTCTCGCGTTTACGTTTAGACGAGATAGAAAAATTCGTTAAGCTAAAGTTCGTTTAGATAAAGTTACAAATTTTATCGCACGATTGACACACATTCGAAGATAAAAGACATCACCAGTGTCGTACCATCATTAACCCTTTCGGCGGTGGAAAATTTCATATATTCGACAACCAGCAGAGAAAAGTTAAATCTCTCTTCAGTCTTGCCGCTTGGTCTTAACTTGATTATTGAAAAGCACTACTAATGGCTTCCAACAAATTGAACATCATTAATGTGACCGAATTTCGTCATCCTTTTAATCTATCGTGCATATTTCAGGCTCACGAAAAGGTCATGTCATTCGACACTCAACTTATTTCCGGATCGAAAAAAGGCAAAAAAAATTGATTCACGACGCGATCGCGACGCCCTCCTGCGTCGGGGATTTGCTGCGTCCGTCTCAATGCTGTACCTTCTTCTGCGCTACTGATTGCGAGCTATAACGCAAACGCGCGACCGCTCGAGGAAGAGCGCGAGCGCACGAAATCCTCGCGAAAGAGCGCAAAGCAGCACCGAAAGGGTCAAAAAGGCGAGCGAAAAATGTCGCGGCAATGAAAATGACTGGTAGGCCTACCTTGGTCGAATACAAGGCAGCGGGTGGTCTTGGCAGCGAGTCCCGGGGGCAGAGCGAACCTGTAGGCCGGGCCCGGCGACAGCCCCAGCCCCAGACCGAGCGCCTCCGCGCCGCATCGGCCCCCGAACACAGGCCCCACTAGAATCACCCATACAACAGTGGTAATCAGTCATCGTCATTATCAAGATAAGGAGAATTACACAGAATTATCATCAATTAGCAAGAGCATCATCATCATCATCATCATGCACAGAGCGAGGAAACCTTCGTGACTGGGGAACTTTCAGGCTGGCGAATGTCGACGGCGCGGCGCGCGTGTGCGAAAAAGAAGCGAACGTCGTCGAGGTGGTTCTTCAGCGATCGACCGAATATCTCGACGTGGAGCCTGAAAGTCCCGAGAGAAGTCCTTCGCTCTGACGTCTAATCATTTCCAATTGTTAATGACGGCCGTCCTGGCCGTGAGGCTTCGATCGTCCGATGTTCAAAGTGAGATATCAAAGTGCACTGTTTGAATCGCTGTTTGTTACATTTTCTCTCGCGTGTTCGCGTACCCGCTTAAAAAAAAAATATATATATATATATTTTTTTTTAATGATGATCATCTCTCACAAACTGTGTAAGTATTTTTAGGAGAAAGTCGTGCACAGTAAGATTAAAGAAGCAGAGAACGGCAAATAGATTCCAAAATTCCAAGGAGGGTTATGAGACGGCCGGGGGAGGGCGGCAGCAAGAAATGCATTCTCGCACCCCGTTTCCGTTTGATAGCATCAACCAAACCGCGTATCATGCATTAATTTGCCAAGACGGTTAATCGCAGGACATAGCCCGTCGCTTTGCGCGAGACAATTTGGAAGACACGTTCCGTGAGATTTTCGATGCGATCCCGGCAATCTCGACTTCTCTCGTTATCGCACAGCGTTAAATAATACCAACGATCAATCACGTCGAAACATTTTAATTCCTGCCGCCGATCGTGTCCGTGTTTGTCGACAATTTTATAACAACCGACTGTCTGGACTGTCCATTTTTCATTACTGCGTTTAATCGAAAGTATCCCCGGAAAGCGTTCCTTTGAATTATTGAACACGGAAGTTCCTGGTATCCTTTGATTATGTTTTTACTCGATATTTGCAACTTGTTTCTCGCGCGATAAAAATCGCGCGTTTGATTAATGAATATATCAATTGCTAAGATTCACGAAAGAGCTTCCCGGAAGCATAAAGCTTCCCGGGGCTCGTTGCCGATTCAATTACGCGTGGCACTCGTGCGCGACTCTCGCAGATCCCTAAATACACGGAGCGAATTAGCGAGCGGGATCAAAAGATGGTGAGCACCAATATGCCCTCAAAGGCCCTCGTCATTTTGCCTGCCTCGTGAACGCAGAGGTAGGTGGCTTTATTATGATCCCATATTGATATTACCGCGCTGTCATTACGAGATAAGTTCCCGAAGGAGTTTATTGCTTTTTAGTACACACTCAGCACGTGCCGGAACGTCGGTCGTCTACAACCCCCTTTAACCGTTCTCGCCGCGATCGCCTGCACTCTTCTCCCCCTGCTTCCCCGCCCACCGAAATTCATATTCGGACACAAGTCGCGAGCTCGTGACGTGGAATATCGGACGATAAAAAATTTCATTCGAATTTCGGTTGTAACTGCACGCACGAGCGGAGATCTTGTGTGTGTGTGTGTGTGTGTGTGTGTGGTTTTCCGTATTTCTTATTCTTCAGATAAATCAAACGTGGTAGAATCAACTATTTGGCGGAGATTTTCCTCGTGTCGTTTCATACGTGACGTTATCTAATCGGCGATGGAAGAAACGTGACAATATCGTGGAGGGGACGAATGAGTATAGAAGGAATTTAGCGGCTCAGAGTTAATCCCGTTTCACGACATCACGAGCGCGGAACTTTCCTGCCTCTTCGAGGAAGCGAGGTCGAGAGATGTGCCAAAAGTGGCTCCTTCTAGCTTCTATTCGGATCTTAACGGGAAACGAAAGAGGAACACGCGCGCACAATACCCGGGCCATAATCTAAATTCATATCTGACGGGAAGCCGGGTAGGATAAGTACATCGAGCATAATGGCGATGACTTAACATACTTTTTAAATTGCGCCTTTGAGATGCAGAACGGCGGCCCGCCGCTGCGAAGATGGGCGGCCTCCTTCCCTTCCCTCCCCCCCCCCTCCCGTCTTTCTCGTTCGTTTTTGGCCTCCTTGGCTTTAGTAGCTTACACGCTGATTAAGACACCCGATACAATTAGGCGGCGAAAAGAACCTCAAAAGACGCGCGTGAGGGGAAGCCGCCAACCTTTGCGTATTCACGGACGTAGAGAGGTGTAACGGGTGTCCGGAAAAAAGAAACTCGAGAGTTCAAGTCTTATCGGGACGGTGAAGAATGAGACGTTCAATTGAATGATTAAATGCAACATGTCACGCGATTACATGTTTCTGAAAAAATATCTCACTTTTCTTTGGAATGAGCAACCGGAAGGAGCAAGGAGTTTAAAAGGCTGACGCGACCTCGTTACGCGACCAGTGATATCTTCTGTATTTCTGTCATTTCCCTAAGCGGGTCCATTTTACGAAAATTAATAACTGAGAATAAGCTTTTGATAAGCGGGCGATATACATCGCATTGTTCGAAGGATCGAAAGGGTTAACGTCAAAGCGTTAATTCCGAGCGCGTTCAGTCCGACCCGTCAAATAAACGAGCGCCGACGAGCAGCTGCGGGCTTCTACGTCATGAACGATGACGGACCAACGAGCACCTCGAAAAAGGTGACGCGCGTCATTCCACGCCGATCGATCGTCATTCGGTTTCGCGTCCGCGAAATGATCGCGCTCGATGATCCGCGCTGACGGCCGAAAAATTCTCTCCCACGTCGAGCACGATAGAGCCATGATCGAGTATCACCCGTCGCGTTCACGTCGCTTTTGAAAACCATGTAATTTCGACAAGTTCATAACGGAAGTCTTGCAAACGAGTAACCGGAAAATGGCGAAAATTTATGAACTGCGCCCGCAGTTCTCCGCGCAGTTGACGTGCGTAAACCTGGACGATTTACCGTATCATAAAAATCGAAACATTCCCCTCCCTCCCCGCCCAGAAAAAAACATATATCGGTGATTTTCGACCGGTCGATAGAGAACGAAAAGCTTCGTGTTGTTACGTTAGAAAAAAAAATCCACGTCGATGTCTCTAATTTTGGACTCTAATTTTTAAGAACGTCGCGCACTTCCATCGAGACGACGTTGGCAACGAGAGAGAGAGAGAGAGAGAGAGAGAGAGAGAGAGAGAGAGAGAGAGAAAAAAACGCGGAGAGACTTTACGAAACGAACACCCCGTAGATGCGGTCAGGTGTATGGCGCGACGAATCGGCTCGTTTAAGCCGCGCGAGTCAAGTCGACGACGGCCGCGCTTCGGACTTTGTTAACGTTAATCCTCGCGTGGACTACCGTGCATGCCCGGACGTGCATGCGCGGCCTAAAGGGCTCGTCTCGCCAATTACAAGCGTGAAAATCGTCATCTCCGAGATAATCGGGAATTAACATCACCCGTCCGCGTACAACGCGCCATTAGCGTCCTCGCTTACGGCTCGGCGGACGTTTTAATCGCTCGTTACGAGATCGCACGATACGAATTTTTGCGCCGGCAAGTCGCCGGTTTCTCAGAGCGAGACGAGAGAGCTCTTGCGTATGAACTTACCGGAGCTCGGCTCAGTCTGACTCGCGGATGCAGTGGAAATTTGTGTGTGTGTGTGTGTGTGTGTGCGTCTGTGTGACGCAAGTCTTATATCTTCAATTAATGGAGATGATCGCCAAAGAGTCGTTAACGAGTGAGAAAAAAGACTCAATCTTGCGGTGAGAGACAGTTTAAAAGCCGTCCTCTTCGTCTTTCGCGTATGATCTCTCTCTTATAACGTAATTGATAACGTAACTTTGCTCCGCTTCGCCTCGCGATCTCCTCGCTCGGAAGACGGAGCGGCCTCAGTTGAATGTAAATCAGATATTTCTCAATCGTTCCGCTTTTGAATATGTTTTTTAACGACCGAGAGTATTGAAGACTCTTCAACAGTGATTCATCGCGCAGCGCGAACGCGAAGAGATACAAGAGAATTGACACAGTCCAGGGGAAGGATATGGACTCATTTGTCTCCACGGTATTTTCGGCGACGACAAATATGAGCCGGCGCTGATGAATCTCCCCGGGGCATTTGTATCCGCCGTAGGCCAAAGGTAGAGGTAGGACCAAAAGCTCGACGCCGTAATCCGGGTTATCGCGAATACACGCGTGAGATTGAAACATTCGCTCGCTACATTCGTCGTCGCGGCTGAATATGGTCGCGCGTCATGATCGAGTTCGAGCGGGTTGCACGACTCGAAGTGTCTCCACCTGTCTACCCTACGGTGCGTCGTCGACGTCGGAGAAAACGGAGAAAACGCCGCGCATGAATGAAGGAGGGACGAGGAGGAGGAGGAGGAGGAGGAGGAGGAGGCCGACGACTGCCGTACATGGTGCACCTCGGCGGACGCTCGTCGCGCGATCGCAGCGACGAGTCGAGGTCGTCGCAGCTGACAGTCGGTCCATGCGATCTTAATCTGGCCGTTCTCGCAAGAAGGGAGAGCCGGGAAAAAATCGCGGGGTTCACCGTCGAGCGGAGACCGGCATCCGTCTGTCGGTTCGACCGACCGGATCAAGAAAGCCTGAATTATTCATCGACGAGATCCCGGCGAGCGCGCGGCCTCCGACGACAGGCAGTGTGTCCCGCCGTGTTTGCGCTGCGCGGCTACCCTCTGCCTTTGATGCGGCACGACGGGGGACGCTGGGGGCGAATTTACACGCCTTCCTCTCTCGATAATCGGTCCGGATGTAGAAGGAATCATACGCGGGTCCTTTGCGAGAGCGGAGAGCGAGAATAAGCGTTTCCGGGGGAGAGGAGAAGAAGTGAAAACACCAAGTCGTTTCACTCTCGCTCGCGCGCGTTTCTCTTCGTTGCAGACGATCGCGGAGTCGCGGACTTGCAGATATCGCAAGTCCGCCCGTCGACTGCGAAGCGGCGAATCGGGCTCGACGGGCTCCGCTAATCGTCGCGGATGAGCTGTCCGGAGAGCGAGAACAAGAGGTGAGCCGTGCGCG